GACACAAGTCTGAAGTGTGTTCCTTACCTGGTTCCAGCATGTAGAGCTGGTCAGACAGATTGTCCACACCCCCTTTGCTTGCATTTAAGGTCCTTAGCTTACCTTTCAAGTCTGCTTCTTCATCTGTCCAGGCCACTTCCCCGGTCTGTCATCATGAACTTTTCTCCCTAAATTCTTTGAAATGACTTTAGTTATTTCAGAGTTGAAGTAAGGACACACTTGGGTCAAACTAGACAGAGGGCAGAGCAGTGGCAGAGAGGTCCCCAAATGATGGTGTGTACCCACACAGTTTCCTTCTGCCACCTGCCAAATGTGTCTTTAGCACAGGTGCCATGTGTTAAGTGCTGTGCTTAGCCTCAGTGCCATACAGTGGATATTAAACAGATGACCCCTGCCTCTGGGCTCCTGAAGGACAGCGAGACAGTGTGATGGCAGTAGGAACTCCTGACCTCTGCTCTAATAGAAAAATGTGGAAGCTATAGATCCCACAGTTAAAAATGATGACGTTTGAAATTCTTTTTCTCTTATCTTACACATTTGGGTTGTCTGTGGAACTTCAGCCAAAATACAATGTACATTTTCCATTTGACCTGCCTTTTACCTTTTCAGTTGATCTTTTATAAACTTTTAGTGTCCTCTAATACATTTTCTATTTTTTTTTTAGACTTTTAATGTCTTAGGGAAGTACTTTCAAATGATGCGAGATATTGTTTTCTGTCTGCTGTTTGTTGTATATTGATATTTTAACCCTTACATGTCTGTGGAGGAAAAGCTGTCTGGTGGGAAGGTAGGCTGGCTACTCATTTGAGACCCTTGAAGGTAATTGTTACTACTGAAAACAGAATGAGCTTAGCACTGGGTTTGTGGCCAACAGGAATGTTTTATTAGCTCCAAAAAGGAGGAGAGAAGATCCTATGAAGTGACAGGATCCTACCAGTAGTCGGGTTCCAGTCCACCTTCCAGCTGATGATCCAGTTCTCTGTGTTCTGCTCCCCACCCCCAGACTGGCCTCCCATTTGTCAACAGACGCTGCAGTGAAACAAAGTCATCTCCATTGTTACTTTTGCTGTCCGTGGGTGACTCTGCCCAGCATTTTTGTTTGTGAGGCTTCTCCAAACTGGGGAAGCACATGATGAGGCAGGAAGAAGAAAGAGCATGTCTATCCCAGGTTCGGTTGATAACGACTAGCAGAGGAGTGGACGGGAGGGACAAAAGGAACGCCACTATTGAGTTTGATGGTTTATTATACATCTTTGTAGTGTTTACTTTTGGGATTAAGAGTAACATGTCTGCATTCTAAATCAGCATCAAAGATAGTAATAAACTTTTTTCAAAGACAAGAGAAACATGGAGGAGTTATAAAAGCAAACTATGATGGCAGTAGAAGACTACCTACAATATATATTACAGTGACTCTAAATGTGTTAAAGTATCATCAGGTTGTGTTAAAAACCCAATTTCTTACTGCTTTGAAGAGAGACGAAGAACGTAACAGAAAAGGAATAGGAATGCCTTAGGGGGTGTTTAGCAGAGAAGTAGAATGATCAAAGGTGATTTGACAGCAGCGGTGGCCTGGGCGAGGGTGGTGGCAACAGAGCAGCATGGGGTCCTTCTGGGCTTAGAGCTCACAGGACCTACGGAAGAGTTTAGGTGAAGGGAGGGACCTAATCTCTTTATGACTCCGATTTCTCTTCTGAGAGGAAGAATAATAATATGTTATGAAGATCAACAGGTACTTCTAAAGTGTCTAGTTCTTGCTACTCAAAGCTGGGGCTGGAGACATAAGTGCCCCCCTGGGAACTTGTTAGGAGTGTGGACTCTCTCCAGATGACCTACTGTGTCAGCATCTGCATTTTAACAAGATCCCCAGTGATGTAGAATAGGACCACACAGGGGAGTACTAGGTGTTGGATAAGGAACAAAATGTGGGGGGCCAGCGATGGCAATAAGTAATCTCATAGAAGCTAAGCATCAAAACCTGCGGACGAACCATTGAGATCCACAGGACCGGAGTAGAATTTAGTCCATGTGTGCTGGGCTGATGTGACGGCCGTTGTTCTTTTTCTGCCTTGTGTTCTAGGATTTGCTCTGTGGAATACCACTTAGCACTGAATTCTTAGCAGTTACTTTGGCTTCTGTTTCAAAACATTGTCAGAATTGAGCAAAACTATTTTCTTCCATCAATTTCTGATTTATACAACCAGGAAAGAAAAAGTCAAGACTTTTGGTGGAAGGTTTTTTTTTTTTTCTCCCTACTTAACCTTGCTCACAAAGTTTGGTGACACATTGGGGCCCCAGCGTTCACATGTGTCCCAGCTGTATTTCAACTGCATCATCTCTATAAAACCCTGACAGGTCAGGATGAAATTATTAGGTACCTAATACAGATACTCCTTTTAACTCCTTCCCCCTCCTCCCAAAGAAGAAGTAGAGTAAGCCCCCCCCCCCGCCTCTTTTCTTTGTGATGGGTAATACATTCAAGTCAGTTCTTCTCCTGGTTCCCTTCTTTCAGCTTACCGATATTTTTTAACAGATATTTATCTTTGAAGACATAATCCATGATTTTCTGGATATATACACATATATAAAGGAAGCCTTTCTCACACTATTAAGATAATTGTGTATTGTGAAGACATAACTTGAGTTATATGTATTGAATAACTTCAAGTGTGTGAAACAAACACTTAGAAATGAAAGGAAAGAATGTGGAGTGCCCTTGCATTACTATTGATTTGATCGAAGTATAAAAATTAATGGAGCACTTAAAAGAACTTATCGAATTGTACACCACAAAGAAAATCTGGGTAGGTTTACAAAAGCAGAAATCACATACCTCAGGGTCTGGGCTAGGATGCTCTCAGGTTCATTTCTGTCTTCATGCCTCTCTATCAGATCTTGGGAATGTGACTCAGTTTCCCTAAGCTTCAAGCTCCTGACTATGAGGCTGAGATCGTTAAGAGACTTTCTTAGGGTAATTGTGTATGAGTTGATCTGTAAACTATACTTAGCTCCGGGCCTGAGGCAATGCTCCCTAAGTGGCAATAGTTGCTTCTCCTACTGTTTCTAAACCTTGTAGTTTTAAGAAATCTATAAATGAGCAAATAAATCATCTGCTCCCACTTGGGAAAAAAAGAATACCCCCTACGTCATTAGCTGAGCAAATGAAGGAGAGAAGTGAGGGAGGACCCCGAGGGCCTGGTCTTCACCCCACCTCATCCCAAGCCTCCCCACCCAATCTTCCCAACTCAGCAAAGGGCTAGTCTGTTCTGCCAGTTGCTCAGGCTAAAAGCCATCATGACAGTTTCTCCTGTCTGCCCCTCTCCTGCTGCCTCCTTTTATCCAGATTACCATAGGAGCCTCCTCACTAGCCTTGTTGCTTCCTCCTTCCCCAGCTTTGGTCTGTTTCCAACAAAGCAAATGGTCAAAGAGAGGTCAGGGCTTCCACTCACAACTCTCCAAAGTCCACCCCCCTTACCCTGCTCACAGTCAGAGGTCTTTACAGTAGCCAACAAGGCTCCTCTTCGTCTCTTAAGTCTCCCCCTCTTCCTACTCTTCTGTTCCTACATACCTCTCCTGCTCCTGTCCTCCTGGCTCATTCCACTCCCACTGCCCACTGGCCTTTGCTTTACCTCAAACCTACTGGGCTGTGATGTTGGTGTCTTTTGCATTGTGATTTTTTCTGCCTAAAAGACCCTGTGTCCATCTAAACCCTCCCCACCATGTATACATGGTGTGCTTCCCCATCACCCTCCTCCTATTTACACATGGCTGCTCCACCATCACCAGCACCTCCCCCCCCCCGCCATGTACCTATGGTGTACTCCTCATCACTTACTGCCCCCAGCTACACATGGATGCTCCCTCATCACCCTCCCCCACCATTTACACATTTTATACTCCCCCACATACATCTCCTCCATTACCCTCACCCCAGGTGCAAGTGGACCCGTGTGGGTCCGCTTAGGTATGGATTTTTTTTCGATACATAAAGTACAGTACTGGTGGTATATTTTCTCTTCCTTATGACATTCTTCTAACCTTTTCTCCAGCTTACTTTATTGTAAGAATGCAGTATATAATACATATAACATACAAAATATGTGTTAATTGACTATGTTGTCAGTGAGGCTTCTAGTCAACAGTAGGCTATTACTAGTTAAGTTCTGAGGGAGTCAAAAGTTATACATGGATTTTAACTGCACAGGCAGTTGGTGCTCATCACCTTGGTGTTGTTCGAGGGTCAACCATATTTTGGAATTTTTAAGTCTCTTGAACGCTTGTCACTTACAGGGAAGAGTTGGAGGGTAAATTAGGGTTCACCTGGTCAATTTCAGCTCTCAGCTCAGTGGCAGCCACCCGTCCTCAACTCAGGCCCCTTGAAAGGCCACTGGGCACATATTCCTTGGGGAGCTTGCACATAGCAAGCAGGAGCAGGGTGGGCAAAGGGACCCTGTCCTTCAAATATAGGTACTCTGCACTCTGATGGTGTTTGCTGCCACTGACTAAAGAGGTAGGCAGCCCCTGTTGCACCTCCCCACGCTGTTGCAAGTGTCTCCCTGCTCTGGCTGAGAAGGCCAGTGCCCTTCTCCCCATCCCTTCATTTTTCACTTTTTCCTCTTTAAGAGCTAGACAGTAAAGACTAGGATGTTCCAAACCAAATGCATATACCAGGAAAGTTAGAAAGAGAGCGTGCATTACAGGGAAAAGCTCGGAAATGACCTGAGAAGTCCATAAGTTTATACTTCAGGCTTATTCTCAGCACAGAGACAGCCTACAACAGTTAATTTTATAAAATAAAAATAAAAATATTAGCAAAACAACAGCAAACTGTGGGGAAGGAGAGGAAGATGTTATTTCCATAGTTACGACATTATTAGATTCAAATATCTGATGTTCAACAACAAAAAAAATCAAAAATCATACAAAGAAACAGGAAAATATGGTCCATTCAAGGCAAAAATTAAATAAAGAGGCTGTTCCTGAAAAATACCTAATGGTACATCTGCTAGACAAGTCTTTAAAATACGTGTCTTAAAGATGCTCAAGAGAAACAAATAGCTCAGAAATATGTGGAGAAGGTCAAGAAAACAATGTATAAACAAATGGAAATATCATTAAAGCAATAACCTAAAAAAAGAATAACAAGGAATTCTGAGGCTAAAAAGTACAATAAGTGAAGTGAGAAATTTACCACATGGATTCAAATACAGATCTGAACAAGCAGAAGGAACAATCAGGGAACTGAAGACAGGACAATGGAATTGATCAAGTCTGAGGGACAGAAAGAAAAAAGATTGAAGAAAAGTGAACAGAGCCTAAGAGTCTTGTAGGGCACCATCAAGCAGACCAACATATGCATTGTAGAAGTGTCAGAAATAGAAGAGAGAGAAAAAGGGGTGCAGAGAATATTTGAAGAAATAATGTTTGAAAACTTCCAAAATTTTATGAAAGACATGGATATAAACATCCAAGAAGCTGAACAGATTCCAAGTAAGGGGAACTTAGAGAGCCACACCAAGGCACATTATGATCAATCTTTCAAAAGCCAGAGACTTTGAATATTGAAATTGAAATTGAAAGAAAGAATATTGAAAGCAACAAGAGAGAAGTAAATCATCACATACAGTGGATCCTCAATAAGAACATAAGCATATTTCTTTTTCTTTAATGTGAGTTTTTTTTTTAACTTACATCCAAATTAGTTAGCATACAGTGCAACAATGACTTCAGGAGTTGATTCCTTAATGCCCCTTATCTATTTAGCCCATCCCCCTTCCCACAACCCCTCCAGTAACCCTCTGTTCTCCATATTTAAGAGTATCTTATGTTTTGTCCCCCTCCCTGTTTTTATATTATTTTTGCTTCCCTTCCCTTGTGTTCATCTATTCTGTGTCTTAAGGTCCTCATGTGAGTGAGCGCATATGATATTTGCCTTTCTCTAATTTCACTTAGCTTAATACCCTCTAGTTCCATCCACATAGTTGCAAATGGCAAGATTGCATTCTTTTTGATTGCCGAGTAATACTCCATTGTGTGTGTGTGTGTGTGTGTGTGTGTGTGTGTGTGTGTGTATACCATATCTTCTTTATCCATTCATCCATCAATGGACATTTGGGCTCTTTCCATACTTTGGCTATTGTTAATAGCCATAAGCATCTGCCATAAGCAGATTTCTTATCAGAAACCATGGAGTCCAGAAGGCAATGAACTAATATATTCCAACTGCTAAAAGAAAAAATCTGCCAACCAAAAACCCTGTATCTGGACAAAACTTTCTTTTAGCAGTGAGGAAGAAACTGAGATGCCTGGGTGGCTCAGTCGGGTAAGCGTCCGACTTCGGCTCAGGTCATGATCTCATGGCTCGTGAGTTTGAGCCCCACGTCAGGCTCTGTGCTGACAGCTCAGAGCCTGGAGCCCACTTCAGATTCTGTGTCTCCCTCTCTCTCTGCCCCTCTCTCACTCACCTCTGTCTCTGTATCCTTCAAAAATAAACATTAAAAATTAAAATTAAAAAAAAGAAGTGAGGAAGAAACTAAGACATTGCCAAATAAACAAAAGCTGAAGGCGTTTGCAACCAGTAGACTTGCCCAGAAATGCTCAAGGGAATCTTGCGAGGTGAAATGAAAACACACTAGAGAGTAACTCGAAGCCATATGGAGAAATAAACATCTCAGAAAAGGGAAATGCCTTGGCAATTATAAAAAATATTATTGTAACTGTTGTTTGTAATGCACTTTTTGTTTTCTACACTGTTTAAGAGACTAATAAATTTAAAGACAAATGATTATTAGTGTAAAAACTAACATTAATGTAACATTAATTTGTAACGTAAAATCTTGTTTTCTACATAATTTAAGAGATGAATGTAATTATGGAAAGAGCCTAAATGTCCATCAACTGATGAATGGACAAAGAAATTGTGGTCTATATACACAATGGAATACTATGTGGCAATGACAAAGAATAAAATATGGCCTTTTGTAGCAACGTGGATAGAACTGGAGAGTGTTATGCTAAGTGAAATAAGTCATGTAGAGAAAGACAGATGCCATATGTTTTCACTCTTATGTGGATCCTGAGAAACTTAACAGAAGTCCATGGGGGAGGGGAAGAAAAAAAAAAGAGGTTAGAGAGGGAGGGAGCCAAAGCATAAGAGAATCTCAAAAACTGAGAACAAACTGAGAGTTGATGGGGGGTGGGAGGGAGGGGAGGATGGGTGATGGGTATTGAGGAGGGCACCTTTTGAGATGAGCACTGGGTGTGTATGGAAACCAATTTGACAATAAATTTCATATTTAAAAAAAGAGATGAATACGTTTAAAATAAATAATGATTTATGTTTTAGGGTACATCACATATGAAGATGTAATTTTGTGGCATCAGCCATTGAAAGGGAAGGGACAGAACTGTAAAGGAGCAGACTTTGTGTCTGTTATTGAAGTTAAGCTGATAAAAATTCAAATTACAGTGTTTAAAATTTTTTAATGTTTATTTTTTGAGAGAGGGACAGATAAGAGCAGGAGAGGGGTAGAGAGAGAGGGAGACACAGAATCTGAAGTGGGCTCCAGGCTCTGAGCTGTCAGCACAGAGCCTCATGTGGGGCTTGAGCTCATAAACCATGAGATCATGACCTGAACTGAAGTCAGATGTTCAGTCGACTGAGCCACCAGGGCGCCCCCAGATTACAGTGTTTTAACATTAGAGTGTTTCATATAATCTCCATAGTAACCACAAAGAAATAGCTATACAATATACACAAAAGGAAATGAGAAAGGAATTAAGCATTTCACTACAAAAAATCAACTGAAAACAAAAAAAAGATGGTAATGCAAGAAATAAGGGACAGAAAAACTATAAGGCATATAGGAAGCAAATAGTATGAGAGAAGTCTTTCCTTATCAATGGATACTTTAAATGCAAATGAATTAAACCCTTCAATCAAAAGAGATTGGAAGAATGAATAAAAACACATGATCCAACTATATGCTGTCTACCAGAGACTTTTTTTCAGGCCAATGACACAAACAGGTTGAAAATGAAAGGAAGAAAAAGTATTCCATGCAAACAATAACCAAAAGAGAGCAGGGGTGGCTATATTAATATAGCCTAGGATGCAAGAGGGAGCACTAGGTTCATGTATAGCCACCTCCCTGTGAAACCAACTTTGCAAAAGCTTCCTGGGTCTCTTCAGGGGTGACAGGGAGATCTCCAACCTGGGGAGGAGACACCTGACAGTCCCTCTCCCACTGGCCTGGTCTCTGGAGCCCTCTCCTGGCTCCTGGGCGTCAGGCTGGTGGGTAGGCGGTCAGACCATCTGGTGGGCCACCGAGGTGCGTTGTTGCAGACTGTGGCGCCCAGCAGCTGTGCCCCCTGCGGATGGGGGCGCGGGGGGGGGGGTGGAGGTGAGGAGGGAGGGCTTGCGTCTGGACCCACGCAGGTGTGCGGGAGCAGGGGCATGGGTGCGCGCAGGCGCATGGGCCAGGGGTGGAGCCCAGTGAGGCAGCTGAGGCTGCAGCTGTGCCCTGCGTCCTGGCTCCCAGACTGCCTGCTGCTCCAAGCCCCCAAGTCTCTAGGCAAGTCAGGGGCTGACGCCCACCCCGCCCCCCACCGGGAACGTGCTGCTGCCTGGCGCCTGTGACCCGGTAGCTGTGGAGGTAGCAGTAGACTTAGCAGTAGCGGGGCACTCGCGGAGAGGACTCAGAGCCATGAGCCTCCAGCCCCGGAGGGTGGCGGCCGTGCTGCTGCTGCTGTTCCTGGAGGCAAAGGCCAAGGTGTGGGCCGCGCTCCCTGGGGCACCTCTGTCTGCGGCTGCGCTGGTGGAGTGCCAACACTGCCAGGGGCTAAGCGCGATGCGATGCTCCCAGGCGCCCCCAAGACCATCTGCAAGAAGCCTAAAGGTGGAGCAGCTGAGACCCACAGCCTCCCTCCAGGGACCTGCCTCAGTCGTGGTGCTGCCGAGGTAGGGATCCTCGTGACAGGGTCCCATGTGGCCTTCCCCTGCCCCTCTCTGTCTTCCCCTTCCATTCCCACCCCCTCTCCCTTGTGCTCCCGGGTTCTTCTTGAGCTCCTTTCTGGCTGTTGTCTGGAGGACTCAGGAGTGACTTTATGGGTTGTACCCTGGTTCCCTGGAGGAGGAGGGCCCGACATCCAGTAGGGGGTTAGGCTCCTTTGGTGGGGAGCAGCGCAGGTACAGAGCGGGGGTCGCCCTGAGTGCCCTTGGAGGTCTGACTGGGTTGGTGGCTGGAGGGTGGAGGTGCGAACAAACGAAGGAACGCTCGTGGACCTGCGGGTGTGGGAAAATGCCAAGGCAGGGCCAGGGAAGTCGCAGCCATGAGCAGGAGGCAACATTCCTGCCTGTGAAAATGAAGCACAGGGACTTCAGATTCCAGAGAAACATTCCAGGGAGAGTCAGGGTGGTGGGCCTGAGTTGCTGGAGCCCAGCCAGGGAACTTGTTGAAGTCATTTAGAGTGGAAGCCTCAGGTGAACACAAGCCTCCTGCCTCCCCCCTCCACACCCCCTGCCCTGCCCCGCCCCACCCCTGGCGGAAAGGTTGCACTCTCTGCTGGGGTGGTGGGGGAGAGCCCACCCCGCTTTGTGCTAAAGGCGGTCCTCTAACATGGGAGTTAATGGGACTATGGGGTGTGGAGTCTGAATTAGGGGTTGTGCAACTCCCTGTTGAGCTCTTCATTTCTGAAGGCAATTTACTTTCAATCAATGAACTCAAAGCAAATGGGCGACGAACACGTGGAGCTCCTTTCTTTTAGAGGGTGGTCCAGACTCTTTCCTACTTGGAATTGTGTGCTGGAGAGGACTGGGTTTTTTGGATTGAGTACAAAGTCATCTTTTTGGGAAATGTTGGGTGGGAATGTCTTCTTCTCACTCTCCCAAGGAAGGTGGATGGAAAAGCTCCTTGTTCCAGGCAGACTTGTCGGTTTTGTTCTTCATATCCGTGGGGTGTGGTGCTTCATGTTTCTGTGGAGCGCCTCCTGTGTTGCATTCATTCTGTGTTTCAAGAGTTTCAGACCTTAGGAATCACAACTCCTCCGGGACTCACCAGGGAGCATGAGGGATAAGTGACTCTGAGCCCACCCTGTCCCTAGAAACCAGTGCATGTGTACTTGAACAGGCAGTGCTAGCCTCTCAGCTTCCTTTTGAAATCAGCTCTTGAGCAAATGCTCTTTCATTCCATGGGTTCTACCTCTCCCAGGTTGTTGGGGTGTGTGTGTGTGTGGTGCTGTGGCCTGTATGTAGTCCGGACCACGTTAGAGACCTAGTTCTTTCCAAAGACACTGTTTTGTTGCATAGGAATTTCTCATTTCAGGGGCGCCTGGGTGGCTCAGTCGGTTAAGCGTCCGACTTCGGCTCAGGTCACGATCTCGCGGTCCGTGGGTTCGAGCCCTGCATCGGGCTCTGGGCTGATGGCTCAGAGCCTGGAGCCTGCTTCCGATTCTGTGTCTCCCTCTCTGCCCCTCCCCCATTCATGCTCTGTCTCTCTCTGTCTCAAAAATAAATAAACGTTAAAAAAAAATTAAAAAAAAAATTTCTCATTTCAATAGAGTGTTCCAATCCTATCTCAAAGGTTGAAAACATCCTGAAGGCAGCACCGTGACCTCACTGAAAGCAAAAGCCTAAGAGCAGAGGCTTTCACAAACTTACATATCAAGATGACTGGTACTTTTATGTTTTCAGTAAGATGGTGTGGTGTAGGCCACTTTTAGCAGCTCAGGCTCCTAAGCATCTGTTTTGTCCCTGGGGGGTGAGTTGTCTCTCTGAGGAATTAAGGAGATTATGATTATCTTGAATATCATTATTTTCATGATTACCATGATTACTATATTCTGCATAACCCATCACATGGAATTTGATACATGAGATCGATTCCCAAAACGTTTTCATTGCAAAACACTTGCTACAACAAGGAGAAAAAAATCACTTTTGTGTGGACAATTTACCTTACCTTTATTGTACTGTTTCAGTGGTATGTACATATGTTAAGAGTGATGAGAGTGTCCACTTAGATCAAAGCAGATTTTTGTGACATAATGATACTTCAATAAACCATAAAAATAATTGAAAATCTAACATACTTAGTAATCTAAGCACTCTGTCCTTTTTGATATGAAATACTAAGTAAAGAACTCATCTTTCAAAAACTGCCGAGTCATAAAAATTTTTTATTATTTAGGTAGGTCTGGTGAGTGGAATGGAATGAACTAAGGTCTTTGAAATAGAGCAAGCTAGAATTTGAGATATTGAAGTCACATTTACTCTCTATTTCCCTCTTGACATGGTCTTTTTTATTCGCTGATGTCTTTTGACCTTTAAGCTATTTCCCTCCTTCCTGCCCCTCACCTTTGCAATCATCTTTATGTGTTTATGGTTTTGTTTTATTATGTTTTGAGGATTTTTGTAGTTTCTTTTCTTATTTTTTGTTTCAGGTTCCACATATATGTGCGAGCATTTTGTATTTGTCTTTCTCTGTGTGATTTATTTCACTTAGCATAATGCCCTCCAAGCATAAATAATGTGGCATAATACAGGTGTGAAGGTATTTTTGGGAGTTAGTGTTCTGAGTAATACCTAGGAGGGTAATTGAAGGAAATTGCTGGATGATATGGATGTTCTCGTTTGAATTTTTTGAGGAAACTTTATATTGTTTTCGACTGCCGCTGCACCAAGTTCCAATCCTAGCAACAGAGCACAATGATTCGCTTTCCTCCACATTTTACCCAACACTTGTAATTTCTTGTCTTTTTGATAAGACCATTCAGACAGGTTTCAGGTGATATCTCTTTGGCTTTGGGTTTTCATTTCCCTAATGTGGAGTGACATTGAACATCTCTTCTTGTATGTGGTGGCCATCTGTATGTGTTCATTGGAAAAATGCCTCTTCAGGACTCTGCCAGTTTCATAATTGCTCTTTGCTTTTGCATTGTTGTGCTGTAGGAGTTCTTTATATCTTTTGTGTATTAACCCTTTACCATGTATGTAGTTTGCAAGTATTTTCTCCCATTCACTATGTTGCCTTTTCATTCTGTTGAAGATATTTTTACTGTGCAGAACTCATTTTTTTTAGTTTCATGTAGTCCCACTTCTTTATTTTTCCTTTGTAGGTTTGGCTTCTGGTGTCAAATCCCAAAACTCAGTGTCAAGACTGAGATCAAAAATATTCTCGTGGGTTCGGCATTTGGCTTTGTCCAGCAAAGCCAAGGACAGCAGAAAGGATTGCTTAAGACTCCATGCAAGTCAAGAGAGGTGACAGGGAGTTTAAGGGACATCTCCACAAGCTGCTCTTAAGCTCCCATAGTCATTAAACCTACAAACAATGTGCAACACATCAGTGGGCCACATGCTAGAAAGAACGTATTGAAGACATGGTGCAAACCAAATTTAGACAGGATAAAATATTTCATGCGACAACATGATCTAAAGACTTTGTGAGCACATGCAGAACCCAACCCCTAGATACACATCCACTAGGTAAGCGAAGTCTAGCCTGCCCCCCAGATACACACCAACTGGGTAAGTGAACTGCTGCTGGCTGTTTGCAGAAAGGCCAGAGAGCAGTTATCTGCTTTGCAAAGTGTCCCCTATAATCTCCTAACTCAGGACATAGTTGTGCGATTTCCCACACCTTCTGCCCAAGTTCTTATCCAGGATTTTTCTGGTTTTAGGTCTTAAGTCTTTAATACATTTGACTTCATTTCTGTGTGTGGTGTTAAATAGGTGTCAAGTTGTTTTTCTGTGTGTGTTGTTTTTCTGTGCCCAGGGTTTCTGACAGCACCTATTGAGGAGACTGCCTTTTCCTCATGTTATATTCTTGGTTCTTTTGCTGTGAATTAATTGGTTACATATGTTTGGGTTTCTTTCTGAGCTTTCAGTTCTGTACCAATGATCTGTGTGTCTGTTTTTACCCCAATACCATAGTGCTTGGGTTATTGTAGCTTTGAGATCTAGTTTAAAATCAGAAAGCATGATGTGTTAAACTGTGTTCTTCCTTCTCAAAATGATTTTGGTATTCAGAGCCTTTTGTGGTTCTGTCCTCATTGAAGGATTATTCTATTTTTAGAGACGTGCTTAAACTTTGATAGGAAATGCATCTAAGGAATGTGTAGATGGCTTTAAGTAGTGTGGACATTTTGACAATCTTAATTCTTGGGATCCACTAGCATGGAATGTCTTTCTGCTAATTTCTGTCTCTTCAAATTCTTTCTCCACTGATTTCTGGTTTTTAGTAAAGTCTTCATCTTCTTGTTTAAAGTCATTCTTTTCTTTTTTAACTTCTCTATGTTTATGAGAAAGAGAGAGAGAGAGAGAGAGAGAGAGAGAGAGAGAGAGAGAATGAGTGGGGAAAAGCTGAGAGAAAGGGAGACACAGAATCTGAAGCAGGCTACAGACTCTGAGTTGTCAGCACAGAGCCCAATGCAGGGCTGAAAACACAAATCATGAGATCATGACCTGAGACGAAGTCAGATGCTTCACTGACTGTGCCACCCAGGTTCCCATAGGCTAAATTTATTCTTAAGTATTTTATTCTTTTGGAGTGATTTTAAATTCTTTTCTTAATTTCTCTCTCTGATAGTTTGTGATTCATGTAAAGAAATTAAGCACATTATATATATCGACATACATATCTTAACATTACTGAAATCATTTATTAGGTGTATCAATAATGTTGTAGAGTCACTGAAGTCTCTATATAACATATCATGCACTCCTAATAAGTGAAAAAGTACCTGGGAATATAGGATAATGTGATCGAATTTAGATGAGAGTAAGCAGATATATGGATACTATGCAAATTTTCTGAAATGTTTTGTGGTTGATACAATCAAACAACTCCATAAATAAGGTTTGTTTGGATATACGTTTTCTTTAAAAAAGACACAGAGAGCTGTGACATAGACATATCCTTACCAACACATTCCCACAACACACGCTGTGCATCTTGGGAGGTAGCCACCTTGTCTCTATTTTCTGTCCTGGAACCCAGTGCCTGACTCCACTGCTCAGTGAATTTATCTCAGAATACTGCAGTTGGGAAGAGACCTATATTTTTCATAGACTTCCTGAAAGGTACCTCAATGTCATTGAATTTTACAGAGTTGTTTCTGATCTGCCTGGAATCCTCTGAGCATGTCTAAGTTGGAATGGCACTTTCTTTGCTGAGAGATCAGGGAGCCCTGCAGTATTCCTGTGTGTCTTGTGGTCACCAGAGGGTGCTGTGCGGCTGCTCATGACAAGGACACTGTTCCCCAAAGATGGGGCTGGCAGGTGCAGGGCTTCACTGCTGGAGGAGCCTGAAGGGTGGGGGTGGGGGGGTTTACTTGGTGCCAAACCCTTGACTGAGTCTCCATCCTGCAGTCTTCTTGAG